ATTCCACAGTCTCCAAGTCTTCTAATTGCCCTAGAATCATCTATTTATATGTTTCGGAGCATTAGGGTCAAAACAGGTAAGTTTTCGCGCGATTGTCCTTCAAAACGCGTAATTTCTCGCGTCGTAGCGCTGCGGCGCTGAGTTTCCAGCGCTGCGGCACTACTGTGTCAAATGCCTGGGCGCTGCGGCGCTGTAATGGGCACCTAAGCGCTGCCCATTCTGCCCAGTACACAAATTCTGCCGGATTTCGGCATCGCGGCGCTACAAACTGGCGCCAAAGCGCCACCAGTTCTGCCCAAATTGTTGATTCCGTATAACTTAGCGCCAAGGCACTGCAGATTGGCGCCTAAGCACTATGATTGCTGTCTTTTTCCACCGAAATTTGTCCAAAACCTTCCAAATCATAGACTTCCACCTATCCTTCAAACAAAGAACGAAAACACACATAAAAACTAACAAAAACCTCAAAACCAACTAAATATTAAGTCTAAAATGATACCAAATGAGCGAGTAAAACTCACTCATCAATACCACCACGTCGTAGGTCGGTTAACAACCCGGCTCCACAGAACCAGGAGTTCATGGATGCCATGTATGCCGCTTTTCAAGGCATGGCCACTCGAGCTCAGAATGAGCAATCGACAGAAGATAGGAAGCAGAGTTACTTCTGAGAATTCAGGCGTGCACCTATCCCCACATTCAATAGTGAGGGAGGACCTCAGGAAGCGGAGTTCTGGTTAGACTCCATAGTTAAGCACTTAGATACTATGGGAGTGCCGGAGGAATACCGTATAGAATTCGCAGTATATAAGATGGAAGGCCAAAAAAGCAACTGGTGGAAGCAAGTAAGAAGAAGGCTTAATGTTGCGGAAATGACTTGGGAGCAGTTGAGACTCTCTTTAATGAACAATATTTCCCTCAGAGCTATAGAGATCAGATGGCATTGGAGTTTATGACCTTGCAACAGGGTGATATGACGATAAGGGAATATGAGGCTAAGTTTAATGACTTCTCCCGCTTTACGCCATCTCTAGTGTAATCTGAGAATTTGAAATGCCTGAAGTTTCAGAAAGGTCTGAAAAATAATGTAAGGAGAAGCTTAGTGCCTCTAAGGATCTGAAATTTTTGAGGCCTGGTGGATGCTGCTACAAGCATGGAACAAGATAACTTGGCCTATCAGCAAAGCAAGGAAGTAGCTAGTCGAGTTTCTACTTCGGGTGGACCCTCTGCTTCGGGTGGGCCACAACAAAGCGGTAGAAGAAACTGTAATCAATGCCAGGTCAGTGGAGACGTGATCAGTGGTGGCAGCAATTCATCTAGGAGTGATAGAAATGCCCCTTACTGACCAAAGTGCCATCACTGTGGGCAGATTGGTCATATTAGGAGGAACTGTCCTAATTGGAATCAGCCGCAGACTCAACAGCCCCAGAGTGATGCTTCTTATGGTCAAGAGAGGCCACCGCAGTTCATGCCACCTTACTAGCCGCAGCTACAAATGCCAACATTCCACCCTCATGTACCAGCCTACCGACCGCCTCAGCATCCACAGTTTCGACCGCAGGCGTCGGGACCAGTACAGATACCTCCGCCACAACAGTATAGACCACCAACCCAAAGGCCTAATGTTGATGATAAAGGGAAGGGGAAAGTGCAAGGACAAGCTTATACTGTGACAAGAGGCAGTTCTGGAGGCCATGCCAGTAATACAGTGGTTGAGGGTATGATTCTAATATCTCATTCTCTAGCACATGTACTTTCATTTCAAGTTCTTTTGCCCAAACTTTGAAATTAAAAGCCGAGAGCTTGGAAACACTGATGATGTTGAACTCCCCACTGGATGTGTGGAGGTGGCTAGTGTATGCAGATCGTGTGAAATCACGATTGGAGGTGAACGATTGAGAGCTGACCTAGTAATTCTTCCGATGAGTCAGTTTGACGTGGTACTCGGAATGGATTGGTTAGCGAGATATGGTGCGATTGTTGATTGCTACCGTATGAGAGTGACTTTGATGACTGACTCCGGAGTGACGATCACTTATTAGGCAGACATGAATCCAGTCCTAGAAGAACGACTGTTGAAATATAGCGTCGGAGGACGGAGGAATCTAGCCTGCTTTTCTTTCTTTCTTGCTCTAGAAGGTGAAACCGAGGTGATTGAAGATAGTGCGGGAATACCTGTAGTGGATGAGTTTGTGGATGTATTCCCTAAATAGCTACCTGGTTTACCGCCGGACTGAGAAATTGAATTCTACATCGATTTGGTTCTGGGAATGGCACCTATCTCTATTCCTCCATACCGGATGGCACCTGCTGAAATGAGAGAATTAAGAAAGCAGCTCGAAGAGCTAGCAGAAAAAGGGTACATCAAGAATAGTACTTCTCCTTGGGGTGCACTGATTTTATTTGTGAAGAAGCACGAAGGATCCCTCCGGTTGTGCATTGACTATCGTCAATTGAATAGAATAACTATGAAGAACAAATACCCACTGCCAAGGATCGATGAGTTATTCGATCAGTTGGGTGGGTCATAGTATTACTCTGAGATTGACTTGAGGTCTGGGTATCATCAATTGAAAATCAGGGAGGAGGACATCCTGAAGACTGCTTTTCAGACTCGGTACGAACACTCGAGTTGCTGGTAATGCCATTTGGGTTGACGAATGCCCCGGCTGCATTCATGGATTTAATGAACCGTGTTTTCCAGCCGTACTTGGATCGTTTTATGATCGTCTTCATTGATGACATCCTGGTGTATTCGAAGACATGGGAAGAACATGAACAACATTTAAGAATTGTTCTTCAAACTCTTCGTGAACACCAGCTGTATACGAAGAAGGAGAAGTGTGACTTCTGGCTGACAGAAGTGAAGTTCCTTGGCCATGTGATATTAGGACAAGGAATTTCTGTAGACCCTTCCAAGATTGAGATTGTGCTACAGTGGGAGAGGCCGAAGAATGTGGCAGAGATCCGAAGCTTGCTCGGACTCGCGGGGTATTACCGACACTTTGTAAAGGACTTCTCGAGTATCGCTGCACTAATGACTCGGTTGACCAAGAAAGAAGTCAGATTCGGATGGGACGTTGAGTGCGAACATGCTTTTCAAGAATTGAAGGCAAGGTTGACAAGTGCAACAGTCTTGACTATTCCTAATACCGAGGAGCCATATGAGGTGTACTCTGACACTTCGGGGGTTAGGCTTAGTTGTGTTTTGATGCAAGGTGGACGCGTTGTAGCTTACACATCTCGCCAACTGAGACCACATGAATGGAACTACCCCACGCATGACTTGGAATTAGCAACGGTGATATTTGCTCTGAAGATATGGAGATGTTATCTCTATGGAGCAAGGTTTTAGGTCTTTTCTGATCATAAGAGTCTGAAGTACTTGTTTACTCAGAAAGATCTGTACCTCAGACAGAGGAGGTGGGTGGAGTACATGGAAGATTACGACTTCACGCTACAGTATCATCTAGGAAAAGCTAATGTGGTAACTGATGCCCATAGAAGGAAGACCTCGGGGACTTTAGCGTCATTAGCCCTATAAGACTGGAAAAAGACTGAAGTTGTGAGTGACTATGACCTCCAGTATCACGAGGATTATCACCAGGCAATGGTGTATAATCTGATCTCCGTACCGGCCCTTATGCAACAAGTCAAGCAGAATCAGTGGCAAGATCCTCATCTCTAAGGCATCTGGGTTCGAATCCAAAATGGAGAGCAGCTTGAGGATTTGAGAATCTGAGAGGATGGGACACTATACTTTCGCGACCACCTAGCTGTTCCTAAGGTGGATGAAATAAAGAAGACGATTATGCATGAGGCTCACAAATCGAGATACGCTATTCATCTTGGAAGTACCAAGATGTACCAGGACCTAAAGAGGCAATACTGGTAGAGAGGCATGAAGAAAGATGTTCGTGAGTATGTCTCAGAATGTGTAACTTACCTCCGGATTAAAGCTAAACATCAGAAGCCTGCTGGAGAGTTATAGTCTCTACTTGATTCATGATGGAAATAAGAACACATCACGATGGATTTCCTGATGGGACTACCTAGAACTGAGCACATGCATGATGCCATCTAGGTGGTGGTGGACAGATTTACAAAATCCACGCATTTCATACCGTTTTGTGCGACGTATTCTCAAAAAATTATGGCAGAGTTGTACTTGGAGCAGGTCGTGAGGCTTCATGGAGTACCGTTGTCGATCACGTCCAATCGTGACACGCGTTTTAATGCAAGGTATTGAAAGAGTTTTCAGGAAGCCATAGGAACAGAATTGAACTTTAGCGTAACATTTCATCCTCAGATTGATGGACAATCTGAAAGAGTTATTCAGATTCTGGAGGATATGCTTCGTGCTTGTATTTTGGATTTTGCCAGGAACTGAAAGAAATACCTGTACCTTGCTAAGTTCGCCTACAATAACAGCTATCAGGCCAACATCGGTATGGCAGCGTTCGAGGTTTTGTATGGTCGTTCGTGTAGATCACCTGTCCGTTGGTTGGAACTTGAGGATCGACTCACTACTGGACCAGAGGTTGTCCAAGAGAACGATGAGAAGAGAACTGTGATCCGGGAACGACTGCTAACAGCTCAAAGTCATCAAAAGAGCTATGCTAACAGAAGGCGTAGGCCCTTGGAATCCCAGGAAGGCGACTTCGTTATGCTGAAGGTTTCCCTACGCAACGGAGTTGTTTGATTTGGTGTGAAAGGGAAGCTTGCGCCAAGGTATATTGGACCATTCCCGATCGTGCAACGAGTCGGTGTCGTGGCATATCGTCTTGCCCTGCCGCCTGAGTTATCTCACGCGCATGACGTGTTCCATGTCTCCATGCTTTAGAAATGTCAACCTGATCCGGAAGCTGTAGTGCAATGGTATGACGTTCTGAAACAGTATGACGCGACATACAAGGAGGCACCAGTTCAGATTCTTGACCGAAAGATGAACAGTCTGCGTCATCGTGAGATTTCGTTAGTGAAAGTGTTGTGGCAGTACCATGGAGTTGAGGAAGCGACATGGAAGCTTGAGAATACGATACATGAACGATACTCGCATCTGTTTCCACTGTGAGGTGAGTTCTAATTTCGAGGATGAAATTCCTTAAGGGGGGTAGAGTTGTAACACCCCGAAGAATTAAATGGGATTAATTGAGATAATTAAGATTTATTAGTGTGCCTAATCTGATTTAATTAATTGGTTTTGATTAATAAATGTTTCTGATGTGTAATTTAAATAATTCCAAGGTATTTAAATATTCTCAGTAATTTTATTTTAACCCAGAAGTGTATATGGGCGCATTTCTGGACTGCCATTTTAAAATATTTGAACACCTATTTTTCTTTTCTTTTCTTTTTCCTTTTTCTTTTTTTCTTCTTTTCCTTTTTTCCGCTATCTTCCTTCCTTCCCGTGGCTTCCCATAGACCACTCTATGTCTCTCTTCGTGCTCTCATTCCCTCGGTTGTCTCTCTCCCGTTTTGCTTCAAAATCAACCAGATCTCGAGCCAAAGAGGAATTTCAAAGAGTTTTTAACGTCAAGAGAAGGACTCAAGTGATAGCTGAGGACTCGGATTGAGTGGCTTAAGGAAGCGGAAGCTGGAATAGTGCGCCGCTACCCACAAGTTTGGTAATTTCGAGATAGGATTTCTATCCCCTTTTCCTTGTGAGCCTGATTTTTAAAAAGAGTTTTGGCCTTGCAAATGTTTTAAAGAAAGGGGCTTGTTTGCGAAAGAAAAATATTTAAAAACCCGTGGCTTGTTGTAGTTCACGGAACCGATGGCTTGTTGTAGTTCATGGGATTATAATAACGATTTCATAATGTTTAATGAATGATTTCTTAAGGAAAGAGATCTTGCAAACCGGTAAGCCCGCTGATGGCCTAGATAGGATGTGGAGAGCGCATTCTCGGGGGCGGAACCCGAAACCCGGCCCGGGAAGGCTTATGCACTTGGTCGTGTAAGTAATTTATATAAATTACTTGTTGATGCCTATAATACGGTAATTTTCAGTTACATTTCCTTTAAGAAAAAGGATATGAGGTTCCAGCTGTTGTGTTGGAACTGAATGTCTATATTTATTCATTTACTTATTCATTTATTTACTTGTTTATTTATTTACCAAGTTATTTCGAAATATATCCTACTGGGCCTTTCGCTCACGTTTTATTGTTTTAAAAATGTTAACCCCTCCCAGGAGACTCTAGGAGCAGTGCGGAGTAGCTGAGTTGCTACCACCTGATTTTGAAGAGGATTGTGTCATCCTCCCTGTATACCAATGTAAGAATTTGTAAATCCTGTAAACTTTTGTACTTGGATTTCTAGATTGTGGATGATGTCTGTAACTGTAATGATTTATTTACGTGTCATGTATGTACGGTAATGAGATCCTGTGTAAAGATCCTGTGAATCGTTTTAATTCAGTGTGTGGGGCTCGTTGGAAATTTCTTTTATTTTCGTACGTTTAACCCTAATCGAGCCTCCACATCACCACCCCTGCCCGGAGCGTGATATAGCTATCATCAAGTTAATAAATAAATCACATTCCAACTAGTTTGACATCAAAAAGTTTTAACCCATCCCCACGCTAAGCCTATCACTGCTTTTATTAATACTAGAAATTGAATACAAATAGTTACTGAAAAAGGGGGAAAAAAACATGTTGATAAATAAAACAATCCAAAGGACTAAAAAAAATTCTAAAAATCAGAAGTCCTTCTTGGATTAGGAAGAGAAAGGATGAAGAAATTGAAAGTTTGGAGGCGTAAAAGATGGTTTTCTTGTAAGGGGTTGTGGGCCCGTTGGGTATAAATATTAGAAGAGGACTACAATTAATATAAAACAATGGAACGGACTAAAGTGAGAAGTTTCCTTTTAACTTCACACTTGAATGAAGCATCAAATGCTTTTAAGTTTTATATATATATATATATATATATAATATGTATATATAGGATAGTCAATCAGGTGGTTAAAATTATAAAAATATAAGTTAAATGAGTATACAACGTCCAAAAGTGGTATTCTCTCGTCCTTATGAGTAATATGAATTTTGAAAGTCAATCCTGATGCATTTTCAAACAGCGCTTAGATCAGCCCTCTTTATACAAGCAAAGAGTAGTTTATTAATAAACAGTTTCTTCGCAAAAGGAAAACCAATTAGTCTACCAATTAGTCTACCCGTACGGGTGATGACGAGTAATCAAGCAATGAATATGTTACCTTGGGAAAAATCAAATCATGTTGCTAATAATGAGGTTCACGTCGACTTCAGTACAATATGCATTCAGTACAATATGCATTGCTTATTTTTCTATTTCGATGACTGTCTCTTTATTAATTATTTATCTTATCATTTAAATTTAAGAATCTAACCACATAAATAAAAATAAAATATTAAAAATATTTAACTAAATCACGATGTATCAAATTTTAATTAGTGAAATAGCCAACGAGACAGGTTAATGGGACAACAGATTTTTATTCAAGAATGGGAAGAGTGAAATTTCCTTCTCTTTTTTTTAGATGACTATGAAGTACTTGCTTACGTACTTGCTATAACTTTTTCCTTTAAAAAAATCATACAAAGTCGGAGCTAGAAATTAAATCCATACAAGTATTATTGAATAGAAAACTCAATGTTGTATAGAAAAAATTTTGTGTGTTTGTGCCTATATATATATATATATATATATTGAGAGAGGGAGAGAGGAGAAACAAAATGGGGATGAAGAAAAAACATTTAAGAAATAATGCTAGAAACTTTTTTGAATTATTGCTTGATTATGTTTCTTAAGAGATTACATTGAATATAAAAGAAGGCCTAAATTGTGCTTGGGTATGTTTTTAAAAATATGTGTAAATTTATAAGCTTAAAAATATCAGAAAAGAAAATGCAACTTTACAGTTTTTTCATTTCTTTAACGAAATATGAAAATAACTTTCTTACAATTCTAGAACCATTTTCAAAAAGCAAAAATTTTTCTTTTTCTTTGCATTGAGGTGGCGGATTCGAACTCATTACCTTATGATGAAATTAAGTGTCGAATTACTGCTAGAATATGCATGTAACCACTGATCAAAAGGCACATTTTGACAAACGTGCGAAAATATTTCCAAAACAAAAAAAATAACAAGCCCAATTATTCTTTCTTTCTTTTTTTTTATTTGAAAATATTTGAGGTGGTGGGAATCATTGCAAGCTGTGCCTAGAATCACATACCTAGATTGAAATTTGGAGGAAGGAAGAACAACATCATCAAAGTAAAGATAACAGACTTTTTTTTTTATTTAAAAAAAAAAGATAGTACTTAAGTTGGCTATAACTTTCACAATATACTAAATTCTTACTAGATATACATGTATGTAATAGTATTTAATTTACATGCGTATACTTCGCTGTACACAAGTTGTATACTCTCCTCGTCGATCACACGCGACAGTGACACATAAAATAAAATATAAACAAAAGTTGGCCATTTTCACTATCCTCTTGAATTATATATAAACATTGGTATACCTCCCTTACTCTGGTCACTAGTTCTGATCTTTATACAAGTAAAGAGTTTAATAAAATAGTTTCTTGGAAAAGGGGGTAACCCAAAATTACCTATATCAAGCCCAAAAAAAAAAAATCCAACTCCTTCAGTTTCTACAGGTGATAAGTAATCCACCAATGAATATGTTGCCTGGGGAATCAAATCGTGTTGCTAATAATGAGGTTCACGTCGACTCCATATTCTAATTTTGTTTTTTTTCCTGATCTGTTCATTACTATATGTATTCTACAGGCTGTTCTTCGATCATCATGGGTATGTTTCATTTTATATAATTATTTGTTTCGTTCTCTTGTGTTTATCTATTAAAGTGGGCATCGATAACGAAATGATCCTTTTCTTTTTTCCTCCTTCTACACATGGCGTAAAATTGGGGCCGCGGCTGAAGCCGTCGCCGACCAACTGGTTCAATCGATATTCTCAACATATCTGTGTTACTTAACTCTATTATTGTTGATCTGTTAATTACTGTAGCTTGTGCCTTTTATTCGTTCAATTTTTTTTTTTTTGGTTTTTTGGTTTTTTGTGTTTTTGTCTTTTTTGTTTTTTTTTTTTTTTTTTTTTTTTTGGTTTTTGCTTATATTGATATCTGGAAAGGTGTTCTCTTAGACAAACAGGTTCATTTCTAATATTTCTTTTTTTTTTCTCCTAAGAAAAAAAATAGAGAACAACTAGCATCAAATATCTACCTAATCTATTTTCATAGATGTCATTTTAATAAACTAACCCTATTTTCATTTTCAATATCCCCGTAGATTTCATCTTTGGTTTTTTTTTTTTTTTTTCTTTTCTATTTTCATAGTATTATTGATGAGAGGTTTCTGTTAAATTAATCAGGAAGATGAGAAAACGTCGAACGTTTCTGCCAATATAGAAGTTTCATCTAAAAGTGATGGATGCGAACAACTGCGGCGACAGAAGATTGGTGAAAACCTTGAGTTCTTACCGGATAAAAAAATTTGCGAGTCCAGAAAAGAGGGCATTAATATTATTTTTGAGGGGAATTACAAAGTACCGGGTGCGGTAAAACGCCTTCCCAAAGCTGATTACGACGTGGACGCTAATAAGATTAAGCTTTTAACTACACAATCTCAGTACCTTCCAAATGTAGTAAGATATTATGGCATGGAATGTGATGATGACCAAGAGTGTTTTTATCTCGTCACGGAGCAGCAAAACTGGGGTACGACATTCAACTTGGATGAACTGATCAAAACGGACTTAGCAATTAATACCAACTCGTTTGAGGCCGTGACAGAAGACGGTCTCAGCTCTACATCTGTGGCTGTGCTAGATGACAGGTTGGAGGCAGTGAAGAACATTGTTGGAGATTTTAATCTCATTCCGGAAAATGGGGGTCGAATTCCTGATTTATCATATACATTACTGAGGTTGGTTGTTAATTAAAAGTTCATTTAATCATGGCAATTCTCATGATAATTAATCTCATAGATCAGATAATTATGATACGATTGAGAAGTACTTGAGACTGAAGAGGCATTCTTCAACTTAAACAAGACTAGATTTGGTATAATTGTTTATACTTTTTAAAAGCTCTACTCTATTTTACGTATACTAAAAGTACAGAAGTAGAGGTGGAAGTTAATATTATTATTTTTTTTTACAAAGAAATGGCTTTACATAATCACTGTAGAATGTGTAATATAGGTTCCGTTCATTTAACCGATTCGAATTTAAAATTCGAGTTTTGTTACAGTAAAAAACTCTCAAAAACAGTCACATCTAACTTTTTTGTTACAGTAAAAAGCTCTCACATAAAATTACATCCAAACTCGAATCAACGAACTAAACGGGCCATTAGTGTTCTTGTAAACTATTTTTGGTTGGTTAACTTCACCAACACAATTGTTACAGCGTTTGATACATCTACATATCTCTAAGATTCTTGTATTATTCCACAGGGAAGTGCTTTATGGGCTTGTTCAGTTAAATGATATAATGGAAATAAGTCACGGAGAGTTGAAGCCCGAAAACATCCTAATAATTAAGAAAGAATCATCCTGGCGCGTAAGGCTTTCTGATATTGACATAAGCAAAAAGCCTCCAACGAAGAGTTATAATAAATCATATTCTTACTTGAGTGGCTTTATTCCTGGTAAGTACTCTCATTTTCTCTACTTAAACACCCCGAATTGTAAGAAGTAGAATTTGTCCCATGGTGTTAAAATATGGAACGGTAATCTTCTCCTCTCTACTACAAGTAACGAGGCCTTTAACGACGACTTTTGTTGTCGGTAAATACCGGGATGTACTATTTAACGCATTTGTCATGGTATCAGAGTCACACTTTACATGAGGATGTTATAAGTATGTTATAAGTTGAATTTGTACCAACATTATAGTATTAACTTATATTTGGATTGTCTCATGTTTTCTACAATTAATTACTTACGTCATGGCACTTCGGATTGGCTAGCACGTAATGATCGCGGGATCCAGATAGGGGTTGATGATATGTATGCTTTTGGCAAACTTTTCTCGTATTGCATCACTGGTAGATCTGAATTTGGTGATTGGAGGACGGTAACAAACAAGAGGGGCTCATCCTTGTTGAATTATCCTGAAGCTTATCAACTTTACTGTTGTTTGTCAAGCAGGAATCCTGCAGAAAGGTAAGCTAATATCTTGCCCACAACTCGATCAACATGATTTATCCATGACATGATACAGTTGCGCACAGTAACGAAGTCATAAATTTTTCAGAGGGGGACTAATTTTAACTACATCAAAAATTTAATCAAATTTATTGTTAGGTTACTACAAATTATCCAAGACGAGATTTCATGTCTTGAAATATTGCATAATAACCAAATTATCGCAGTTATTGAAGATAATTTTCTTTATGTACATAAGTTAAGTATCATTAATTAAGTAAAGAAAAGCATCGTTAATTAATTGATCTCTAATTGAATTGCGTAGCCAATTCTTCACAATATTCGTATAAAAAAAATACCATCTCTATAGTATCGGTAACAAGAATTAGATTCAATACTAATGTTAAAACTTTAAAGTAAATAAACTAATAGATATGTATTATTCATTATTTATTAGTTATATGAAAGGTTTTTAAAGTTAACATCTATAGAATCTTTTAGAAAGTAGTATTTTTAGAGGTTTTTTTTTTAGAAAGTAGTACTTTTTAAAGAATTTATATATTTTTTGAAGGTTTAAATATTAGATTTTCAATTTGTTAGGGGGCTATATCTAATTACCTATAAATATACCTATAGATATATAGGTTAAGAAACAAATTTAAAAAGTTTGGCCTAATTAGTTACCTTCGTCACTGGTTGCGCACAAAGCCATACTTCTGTTTTTCGGCTCTGACCCAGCATCCGGTCTTGGAACCCATGCAGCTTTAGCCATGCTCTTCCCCAAAAAGACCATATGCTTCACCATAATATGCGAAAAGTGAAAAACATGGCATGTCATTTTATTCAACATAACATTGACATTATAAAGGTATATATAACAGTTAAATGTTTAAAACGTTAGTGTTTTACATTATTTTTCTTACTTTTTTTATGTTGTTGCCAGTCTAACAGCGAAGGAGGCATTGCACCATCCACATTTTTGGGATCCGGAGAAGAAACTTGCATTTCTTCGCGACAGTTATAATAAAGTATACGAATTTGAGCACAGTACAGGTCTTCTCAAGGAGCTGGATTCTATTTCATGGAAAGTTATAGAAGGAAAATGGAAGGGAGAGAATGTTAAAACATGGAACAAAAGGATTGATGGAGAAATAGTTGATTATGCAGAAGATCAATTAAGAAAGTACAGCAATCCCGATAGTACTTATAAATATAAAAGCTTTCCAGAATTATTGCGGTTTATTCGACACATGTTCGTTCATTATGGACGCCATCCACAAAATATTCAGGTAATTATAGTTGGGGCAAGATATTCTCTGTGAATATTTTCATTTCCAAATACAAAATTATTAGAACTCATTTTTGTGGTGACCATTTATTTTCAGAAATCCATAGGATCACTGTATAAAGGTTTCTATGACTACTTTGAAAGTAAATTCCCAAATCTCTTGATTGAAGTCTACAAGGCTGTAAAGAAATGGTGTGGGAAAGATGAATATTTTTGCAGATATTTCCAAGACCATAACTGAGGTGTTTCTCCCTTCTCTCTCTATGTGCGGTTTGTTCATTTTTGGCTTGCGGGGCGTCTTGTTGCCTTGTATGCGAGTGGAAATCTTGATGTCAACTTAGTACACATCCAAACTATTTTCATGGTTTGTCAAGTTTGGATGTATAATATTTAGAATTGAGTATCGATATAATATTTTTAGAGATTACTGGTACACCTATTTTGAGAATTGAGTACTTGCAAGTAGAATGGTGACTCAGTGAAGACCTATTCTCAGAAAACTTTTTGCTGATCCCCATATCTGAAAGCTTTGCACATATATATTAATTTCACAAGATTTTGCATCACTTTATTTATTTAATTTTTTTACATGGGTTTTATCGTCCTAAATTACAGATGAAAAATGTTGAAACATATATACATAGCAATAGAAAAAAAAAAAAAAAAAAAAAAAAAAAAAAAAAAAAAGATGAAGTACACGTACCTGGTTATCAGTATAAAAAGGCAATTACAAGTCTAGGCTTTGAAAAGCAGTACCTATCATGTAATTTGAAGTTGGTGGCCATATGGCCATTGATTTTTCTGTAGTTGTCGTAGATGGGCATGTATATATACTGGGGAATGGATAATAGAGAAGGGAGAGGAAAATAAACAGTTTTTTGAGAGCAGGGAAAGGACCAAGGGAGAGTGAATGAAGCAGCTTTGAAGGAGAAAAAGATTTTTGGAGTTGACTAAGGAGTTGGTGACGAGGACAATTACGAGGGGACCAAATTTTTATGTGACTTTTGGATGTGTGAATGTCCAGATACGGAAGCTGCAACAAAGGTTGGCGTGTTTTGTTTCATTGGTTGCGGCGTGTAGAATTTTTGCCGGATTATTTCGATTTTGGACTTTGGTGACCAGAAAAAGTTATTAATTTGAGGTAATTTGGCTTTAACACTTGTGTTTTTAGTTTTAGACATAATCAAGGCGATTTTATCAAGGAAAGATGTTCGTTATGTGGATATATATATATATATATATATATAAATGCCGGCTAATTTTGTTTTTTTTATCATCAATTGTTATAAATTTTCATGTAGAATGGTTTTCTTTTTTTCTTTTTTTTTTTGTGGTAAAATTTATGAGTCCTCGGTCCTATAATAAAGATATATAAAAAGTGATTGATTCAAGAAATATATGGCTTGGAGTAGATTGCTAAAGTGATCATTCCCTTTTTAAGCCTCTTACATAGCATTTCGTTTCTACATTTCTCTTTATATATAAGTTATTATCTACTACTGGTTGGAGTGAACATGATTGAATCTTTCATCTCAAGGCTTTAATCAATAATGAACCACTTATGAGCTCATCTGTCTATGCCTGTTATTACTTCATAACCTTTTCATTGGAAGAGGGAGAAATTTTCAATTTGTAGAAAAAAAAAAAAGGTGAATGTAAAATCAGATGTAATCAATTTTGTGGTTCAATATATAGTTCTTTTGTCTGATGAAGGGTTAAGCATGAGAATTTTTCCCTATCTTGGCTAGCTAACGAAACAAAGAGTTAATGTGGCAATAGCTAGATCACAATTTGAATGGTTGTGTGGTGATATATTTATTCATTTTAGTTTTTTTAAAAGGTGGTGATATATTTATTTGAAATTCCTTGAAGTCCTTATTTAAAACAACTCCAACTACACTAATTATTTCATATTTTTAGCTAAAATAGATAATAATTTAACTAGAATTTAGCTTTTCTCCACTCCAACTATTAGCTAAATGGTTAGCTATTTTAGATAATTCATTTCACACTAGCTAAATATAGCTAACAAGAAGTGGCTAACTATTTAATTTTTTGTATTATTTTATTGTTTCATACCCAATAAATGCAAAAGTTCTTTTTAAATTAAATAAAGTTATTTATAATTAAATTCAATAAATATTAAAATAATCTATGTTTAGCTAAAATAAAGAGTATGGTTGGAGTGACTCATTAAAAAGTTGCTAGCGAACATATAGCTTTCTAGTTATTTTAGCTTGAATTTGGCCAAAAAAATAGAGAGTTCCCTTGGGGATGCTCCTATATCTAACTCGGTAGCTTTCTAGTTGGAGTGACTCATTGAGACCCGAGATATATGTATGTATGGCACATGATACAAATGTTAATGTAAATCAAATAAGATTCTCTAATGTAGGGTTTAGTATATCAAATCAGTGATCTAAGCATATGAGTTGATCTTAAACCGCTGGTTTTAGACAGTGTACGTATAGTTAGTTATTGATCAATACTTGACATGCTTGGAGAGATTCCAGTAATAATAAAAGGAAGAGACGGAATTTAAACGGAAAGAAAGAAATTAATCAAGAATCACTGCTATAAAGATCAGATACAACGATCGTTTTTAACCACGTTGATCTTTTGACCAAAACTATCTTCTTTTTTTTTTTTGCTTTTCCGTACATTCCTCAACAAAGAAAAAAAAATCGAAACAAAAAAGAAAAACGTTCTAAAAGAAAAAAAAAAATCCACAGAGCACCTGTTTTCTGCATCCAATCCTGCGAGGCCTCCCTGTCTTTCTTTCTTCACCAAATACATGAGTTTCCAACGTGCTGCAACGTTAAGTCGGTTTCCTTGGTGTAAATTGTGAGCCCAAAGACTATTTGGAAGACTTGTTGACTGTTTAGGATCGGGTGTTGCATCCCCCGCAAACCATTAAACCAATGCATTATCACCGCTTAAAAACTTGATATTTCATTGACGGAAATAGTAAAATTGTAATTTTTGATAAGCTTAATTTTTTAAAACTATGTACTTTGTTTTAAAATGTTCTCTGATTTTTATAAATACCTCTAAACTATGTACTGTTTTTTATATATCAAGAGGCATTTAAAATTGTTTTACAAAATCAGAGGACATGCATAATTCAGGGGTATTTATGAAAATAACTTACCTTTATTTAAAGGGTCATCTCATGCGCACGAAGCGCTTTTTGGTACCCTAGTAGGTGAAGACAAAACGTGGTTGGACGGATTTAGCCTCTACTTTTCTGCGCCATGCATAAAGTCAAAGTCATCAAAACGTAGGCAACACATGCATTTCAGTAATCATAAAATTTTTTAACAATATGTTAATATATAGTTGTTAAAAAACTTATTACATTAAAGAATATCAAACAATGAATTAGATGAAAAAGCGCTTTTGTTTTTCAATTAAACTGGAGAATTATATTTTTTCCATTACCAAGTGAGGCCAGATTTGTAATTTCATTTTATATGCAGCAACTTTTTTTGTTGAATAAACTGTGAAAGCCGATATTAGAGATTGATATATAACGCATTTTAATTAGGTTGACACTCTCTAACCAATCCCATTGTTATATAAAGCAATTAAAATCATATATAAAAATTTAAAGAGTTTGAAGGAAAAGGATCTCGTTTTTTAATTTTGTGCACACAGAAAAGCCATCACCACTCATCACCGCCACCTAACACAACTTCGGGGGTGAAGGGTCTTTATTTTTTATTTTGTTTTTGGCTTGCTGAAAAAGAAAAGAAAAATAAAGATAAGAAAATTAAAAATGAACAATACGAGAGTTTGGTAATGACGTGGCCATCTTTCATTGGATGCCAAACTCTTCCCAGTTGATCTTCTCCATCTCTCTCTCTCTCTCATTCCCAGTAGAATTTGCTCTGAATAATGTTTCTGACAAAGATGACGATTATGACCTGGTCCTTCTTCTTCATTTGAAGATCTTTGAGGTGGAAAGGACTTTAGGTTGACATGGAAACAAATTCTACAGTGGGAAGAGCATTCTGAAGCTTCAAGGGCAGACAAAATCGATTTCAGTATAATATTAGAAAAATATTGATAAATATCGGTCAAGATATCAATATCGGTATGCAAATAGTGTAATTTGGGCAAAATCTTAGAGAAATTTCTAGAAAATTTTAAAAAGTTTTGGAAATGGAAATATGAGCCGTTTAAGGTTTTTTTTCCCCTTAATTTCTTTATCATATTATAGACATCAACAAATTTATACATTATATGTTAAGAACCTGCTTTTTGGAATCGTGGAATAAATTCCACTGAAATATTCAACACCTTCACAATCAGGTGCATTAAAGAGAGATTTGTAATAATCAATAACATGTTGCTTGATCTCAGCAGTGTCTTGACTAACATTTTCACCGATTCTCATCGTAGTGATAGTCCCTTGAGCTCATTTGTGTGATGACCCTAACTTTTGATCATCATCCTACGTTCATACTTAGCATTACTTAACCTCTACTACTTTCTAATTATAGCCTCTTAAAAATTCAGGCTAATCTTTTTTTCCATTCATAAGTCTAAATGCCGTAGCATTTAGCTGACATTCTATTACATTAATCGTACCTTGTGACTAGAGGTTGCTATGCATAATCTCATAGTCCCGTGATCTTTACTTGCATTACATAACCTAACCATATCTATAAATATGGTCTACTTAAAACACTTTGCAGCGTTTACCAATTGCGTGTAGATCCCATTACCCACTTGCTCACATCTCACTACTTCATCCTTTTCTGCACGTCCAACATATGGGTTTCGGGGAGCCGGTATCTTACCCGAGCTTCCTACAACACGAACAAACGTAATGAGTTTTCGCTCAGCAAGTAACAGTAGGCCATAGTAAAAGCATACAATAATGTATACCTATATATGCATTCATGTCATATATCTTAAGACATTCTGTACTACTAGAATGTATATCGCTTATGTTCTTCTTTCATTACGTACTTTGTTCAGTTTTCGTCTCTTTTTAGTCATTCACATTGTATTTTAACATTCTGAACGACTTTCATATTGTGATTCTCTCCTTTTTCATTCGTCTTTACAGATACCGTACCCTTATATGGAATGATATATGTTTTTCATTTTCTTGTCTTTTACTTCTTAGGGGCCCTGTCCTGTTGTACCATAGCGCGCATAATCAGTGAGGAGTGGGGTAGCTAACCAATCCAACTCAGTCACAATTTCATTTCTTTCATAGTCTCATAATAG